TGTGTGTGTGTGTGTGTGTGTGTGTTTGTGTGTGTGTTGGGGTGTGTGTATGTGTGTGTGTGTGTGTTGGGGTGTATGTGTGTGTGTGTGTGTGTGTGTGTGTGTGTGTTGGGGTGTATGTGTGCCATCCTCTTGGATGGACCCCCTGAAGTTCAACTTGCAGGCAGTTGTGAGTTTAGTCCCATTCTACTTCAAAGTACAACGACTACTATTAATGACTGACCCAGCTTTCCAGTCGTTCAATTTAAATTTTTTTTAAAAAAATTCTTTTCCTTTTTTATTTTTAATTCTTATGTGCATGATTGTTTTGTTTTGCCTTTATGTTTACGCACCACTGTGTGCAGTGCCTAAAGGTCCAGAAGAGGGTGATGTAGCCCCTGGAACGGGAGTTACACATGGTTCTGAGCCTCCATGTGGAGGCTGAGAACCCAGCCTGAATCCTCTGCAAGAACAGCAAATTCTTAACCCCTGAGCTCCGGCAATATGCATTCAGCCCCTGAGCAATTACTCCAGAACTACATCTAATTTAATAATAACCTATTGGGACAAATGTGGACATGGAGATACATGCTGAAAGGTTAAAAAGGACTTCTAAAGGTCAGAGAGTTTGACAACCACAAGGCTGGGACAATGGAGTGTTTGGATTCCAGCCCTGTGCTCTTCCCCCAGCTGAGACAAAGATCAAGCCTCCAGGGTCCCTAGGCACTCACCTGCCCTGTGGACAAAGCCAGGCCCTTCCGCTCACCAGCCCCTTACATTCCACCTACTTTGTATGCTCCAAGCCCCCTTCCTGCCCTACCTACAGCAATTCACACCTTGAGCAGTAGTGTATGGTCAACCCTGACTGAGGTGTGCTGTATATAAAAGACTTCACATAAATGCAGAGAAATGTGAAATAGCTCTAGCTGACTCTATGCTGACTGTGTTTAGATAATATTTTGGGAACAATCGGACCAGCTTAAATATACTATTAATATCTATTTTATCTTTCTTTTCATTTTTATACATATTTCCTCAAATATGAGAAACATCCAAACTTATTGATGCTGTGATGGAATATTAGCTCGAATACCTTTGTGCTTTTCAGCTTCTAATAGTAGACCACCTGCTCTCTTTGCATAAATACAACATATCTCTCTTCAGAATAAGAAATTCCCCCACACAACCACACTGTCATTAAGGAATTTGACCTGGGCTACTATAGTGCCTCATCAGGTAATTCACCTGCTGTTGAGCTGAGGGCCTGAGCCCTCTCCCCAGGACCCACATGGTTGATGGAGAGAACCAACTCCACAAAACTGTCCTTTAACTTCCATATTCATGCCAGGATACCAGCACCGCTGCCCGCCCCCCATACATACACAAATAATAACCAGATAACTTGAAGAAAAAATTAGCCATCTATTAGTGAGTTTACTGTCAATATTCAAAACACCCAGATGTCCCAAAAACATCCCTTTATAATTCTGCTCCATTGTGGCTCCAGCTTATAATGGCAACTAGAAAATTTTAGGTTACACACACGCAATATGTGTCTTTCACTGAATTTTCTTTCTTTTTCTTTTTCTCATGGCACATTTCATGTAGCTCACTCAGGCTGGCCTCTAAGATACTATGTAAGCTGGGGGCTGGTCTTGAACTCCTGACTCTACCATCTCTCTCTATACCAAGTGCTGAGATCACAGGCATGTACTGCCAAGCCTGGTTGTACTTTCTGTTTCTGATAGACTGCATTGCTTGAAAGACTCATAGCTTTGACTTGCAGATAGACCACAATCACTTGTGCTCTTTTTGTTCACCTTGGATGAAGTGAGGTAACCTGGTGGAGCTTGCAAAATGGAGATACAGACGGCAGGATGTGATAGAGCAGGGTGAAATAAATAAACCATTTAAAGTGCTTCTATCACTGGGAGATGTGTAGCCGTGGATTAAAAAAAATGCTGGCCGTGACTCTATTTTTCCTCCCCCACGAATTTTTTCCAGCCCCCTTTACAAGCCTGTCATAGGCCTATAGAGGCATCGCCGCAGTTGCTTGTGTTGTGCACACCCCAGCTCAAGAGCCTTATCTGTCCTGTCCACTGACTGTCAGGCCTCGTGCTGGCTGATACGGCCAATCTCCCTGGAGACAGGTGGTTGTGTTGCAGAGCTGGGGTGGCAGCAGTCAGGCTCCTCCCTGCCTCCAAAGAAAGATCTCTTTTAACAGTGGACTGCTGAGAGACTGAACACTCATCTTTCTGTGAGCAGCTCCAGGCAGGCATAAAGGGACGGTGAACCCTGAGGCCACGGGACCTGGTCCAGAGAGTAACTTCAGCCTCTCTGGATGATGCTGTGAGCTCCTGGGCCTTCCTCTTCTTCTACTTCTTCATCTCTGCTGTTGGCAGGAGTGTGTGTCTGCTCCTGGGAGAGCAGGCCAAGGTGCCTCTGGTGCTAGAGATGCAATTGGGCCTCTTGTTCAAGAGTGTGTGACCATGTCTGTGCCCCAGCATGGTGTGCCTGTGGAGTTTACTCTTCCCACCAAGCAGAGATGGTGACTTCCGGGAAGCAGAAGACCCAGTGTGATTGACATGGCCTCAGCTCCTTCTGTGACTAGCCTGGCAGATGAAGTCAACTGCCCCATTTGCCAAGGCACCCTAAGGGAGCCAGTCACCATTGACTGCGGCCACAACTTCTGTCGTGGCTGTCTCACTCGCTACTGTGAGATCCCAGGCCCAGAATTGGAGTCCCTTAGCTGCCCGCTCTGCAAAGAGCCTTTCCGCCCGGGGAGCTTCCGGCCCAACTGGCAGCTGGCCAACGTAGTAGAGAACATCGAACGCCTTCAGCTGGCATCCACGCAAGGTCCGGAGGTGGAGGATGCCTGTCCCGAACACAGGGAGAAAGTCTACTTCTTCTGCGAAGAGGATGAGGCACAGTTGTGTGTGGTGTGCCGTGAAGCCGGGCAGCATAGGACTCACACTGTGCGCTTCCTGGAAGATGCAGCAGGTCCCTACAGGGTAGGAGAAGATCCCTGCAGGGTAGGAAAGGGCACTGGGTGACCCTTGTGGGAGCTGGATTGGACCAAGGGAAATAGAAAGGTGTTGTCAATTCTGGGGTGGAAGGGGTATCCTGACTCCAAATTCTTTCTCCTTACCTTGATCACCCAGGCAAGAGACTCAAGCACAGAAAAGCACAAGGTTATGATTAAGAGCAAGTTCTATGCTGTTTCCTTGTGACCCATAAATAGCAGGAGCTCAGTAAATCCTTTCTGAACGAATGAGTCATCAAGTGTGTGTGTGTGTGTGTGTGTGTGTGTGTGTGTGTGTGTGCGTGCGTGCGTGCGCGCGCGCGCGCGCGTGCGCGCGCCCTGTATCAGTTTAAGTGTGTCTGAGGTTTGCATTTCAGGGAATGCCCATGTTTGTATGTTTACAAGAGTGAATGTCTTCTGTGTGGAGGGCTGGTCTGAGTGTGATGTATTTGAAACATGCTTGTAACTAAATGTTCCTGGTGTGAATAAGCTAGTTGGGGGAACACATTTGGTTTTCATTAAATGAGTATATTGCTGGTTTTAGTTGCTTTTATACTGTGTTTTGATATAAGCAGGTGTGTATATATGTATGATGTAGCATTTATTAATGATCTTTTGATAGTGAAATTTTTCTATGTATTCTGTTTTTATTTTTATTTTTTTAAAGACAGGTCTTAGTGGAGCATTGCCTCAGACTAATTATACAGCCTAGGATGACCTTGAATTTCTGAGTCTCCTGCCTTTACCCCCTTGAATGCTGGGATTATAGGGATGTGCTACCATACATGATTTATGAAGTGTTAGGGACTGAACCCAGGGTTTCTTACATGCTAACCAAGCACTTTAATAACTGAGCTACAACCCCAGGTTTTCTATCAGTGTTCTCAAACACACATGTGGGTATCTATGTGTTTGGTTGTTCCTAATTCTCTTCTAGAACAATTTATAAAATAGTGCATCAATTATTTTTGTGTGAAATTCCTTCTCATATCGAATCATTTCTAGATTATTGGTTCTAGCAAAAAAAAGAAGATGTTATTTGAATCTATTTCCTTTGTATGACATGATTTCAGTTTCAGCAAAGAACATGCAGCACTCAGGTCATAGGTAATACTTGCCACATGCAAAAGAAGGTAGTTGTTTAACCTGAAGAAGGGCTCAAAGGGTAAGCAAAGTCATGACCTTTGATGGCTCATGAGAAGGGGGTAAACTCTGGTCAACGTCTCTGGAGCATAAAGCAAGAGGAACAAGCATCAAGGCCAGGCCTGGTGGTGCTGAGGCAGGAGGATCCTGAGTTTGAGGTAAGTCTGGGCTACATGAAATCCTGCCTCAAAATCAGAATAAGGAAGAAGACTCTGAGTCTCTCAAGGTGCCAGGGTTCGCATTTATCTCCAGGGCATTTCATGTCCAGAGATTGAAGAGAGTGATGTCCCTTTGTAGTTACTTTCTCCATCTTAATATTTTATGCTCCTTCTCCCCAGGAACAAATACAAAACTGTCTTATGTGTCTAAGGAAAGAGAGAACGGAGATTCAAGAAATCCAGTCAAGAGAAAACAAAAGGATACAGGTGCTCCTGGTAGGTCTCCACCTCCCCAGGCCCAGCCCTTGCTCCAGAGTCTGGGGCCACCGAACAGACAGATACTTGAAGGTGTTATGACTCTGACGTTAACTCTTCCATCTTGAGCAACTCTCTAGCTTTAGCTTACTTGCCTGTAGAATGGAGATTAAGATTCATCTCCTTACTGAATCACTTACTGCAGGAATTAGTGTAATCCTGCCTCTAACACCTTAATGGTGTGTACACAATGTGTGCTTCCTGCCTGGCAAGATGCCAGGCATCTCTGGTGTCTCGGGGCCCCTTTCAGAAGCCACAGTAATGGCAATGGGGCCATGTCGGGCCTCATGAGAAATGGGGTGGCAGGCAGAAAGAATACCAGCTGCAGCTCCACATCCATATGGGGGTCAAGCAACAAGTGGGAGTGGGGGGCTGTGATTTTGTCACCAAACCTTGGGAGGTGTGGGTATAGATCAAGAGGCAAGTGGAAATGTGTAAGGGAAAGGAAGGGGAGAGGAGGATTGTGGGTGGGGGATGGGATTCTGCTGTGGGGAGAGGAAAACGTCCTTCTTGGGTCTCACTTCCTTCTCAGACTCAGGTGGCCACCAAGAGACAACAGGTGATTTCCCAGTTCGCACATCTGAGTCAGTTCCTAGAGGAACAACAGAGTGTCCTTTTAGCTCAGCTGGAGAGGTTGGATGGGGACATCCTGAAGCAACAGGAGGAGTTTGATTCCCTGGCCACAGGGGAGATCTGCCGGTTCAGCACCCTGATCGAGGAGCTGGAGGAGAAGAACAAGCGGCCAGCGAGGGGCCTCCTGACGGTGAGACCCGGCCTGCCCTCACCCCCGGGGGTCTCTGGAATCACTTCCTTTACATACCTGGCTCTGCATCCAAGATAGGTTGTGGAACACAGGACCGGGGGTGGGGGTGGGGGTGGGTGCTACATTCTAGTCTGTGCCTCACCAAGAATTCCCTGGTCATGGTACTCTCTGGCCTTGGTCTTCTTTCCTGGCATCCATAGAATGGGAAGAAGTGAGGATCCAACAGTAAAATAAGGTAGAAGTTGCTATTGAAAATTACCAAGTACTGTGCAGACAACTGCCAGGTGCTGTTTCCAAAGCAAAATTTTCATAACTTGAATGTCCCCTCCACTGGCCAGGAAGTTCTCCCTTTACTGAATTGCCTCCTTGAACTAGAGGAGAGTTACTGGGGTTCCAGCAACAGGATTTACAGGGATGCACTGGGTACTGGGAAATAAGAGACCTTGGTGTAGGACTTGCATATTTTTGCCTGTTGCTAGAAGTTGGTCATATCACCAACTCTGTCCATGAAGCAAAGGAGTTGGGTGCTGGATTTTGGTCCCCATGGATCTGGGGCTAGGAATATGGCATTTGTTTTTGTTTTTGTTTTTGTTTTTGTGTGTGTGTATAACAAAAGTAGAAGAGAAAAGCCAGAAACTGAATCAATCTCTCTCTCTCTCTCTCTCTCTCTCTCTCTCTCTCTCTCTCTCTCTCTCTCAGCACTCTAATAAGGTCAGTGATACAATGCCTATTTCTTCTTTTCACGTAGATAGCCACCCGCGGTCCACCCACCTAGTTATTGCTGTGCAAATAAACCACACTCTTACATGAAGGGCACACAGTCATGTGTAAATCTATGCTTGCCCTAATGTGTTCTCATGCACTGCTGTTGATCTACCCACTTGTGTAGCAGTAGGGTCTGTCTGAGAGGATGGGAAGTTGCTGCTCCAGGCCTTGTTAGAAGAAGATAGCAGCCTGGAGACATCATTTTTAAAACAGAATAATTCTAGGGGCCAGAGAGATGGCTCAGTGGTTAAGAGCTGTTGTAAAGACCCTGGGCTCAGTTCCCAGAACCCATATAGCATTTCACACACACATCTCTAGTTACAGTGGATCCTATGCCCTCTTCTGGTCTCCATGGACACTGCATGCATGTGTCACACTACATACATGCAAAAATTAAGTATTTTTCCCCATACTGCCATTTCTGTGCCCCTAGGTGTGAAACTAGAAAGTGCAGGAAACCCGAGGCTATATCCCCAGAGCTGGGCCAGAGGATCCGGGACTTCACCCAACAGGCCATCCCTCTGCAGCAGGAGATGAAGACATTTCTGGGTAAGAGGACTGCCCCCCCCAACTCCAAACCTCCACAGCATGCTGCTGTACACACAGTCTTGGAAATGACCTCCTGATTCTACTACCAAATGGCTATGTATTTTAGCATGGCTTATCTCCTTTAATGCCTTAACTTTCTTACTTGCCAAATCCAATAAAAATCTCTCAGGATGACCTGACAGTGAAGAGAAATAAAAATAGTGAAGATTTGGGGTTTGGGGACTAACCTGTTGAATCTGACCAGTTGACATGAAATAGTGAAAAAGATAATGGTTAACAGCATCCATCACTCTTCGTCATCAAAGGGTCTCGGTAGCATGTGCAATGCATTGTGTTTCGATGTTTAACTGTGTCAATTAGTGACAGTATTTAACCAACTGCAGAAGCTGAATCTCCCCTGCTTTCCTTCTGCTTTTTTTTTTACTACTGAGAGTTGGACTCAGGGTGTGTGTTTGGTAGGCAAGTGCTCTACCACTGACCTACATCCCCAGCCTTTCCCCTATTGCTTTTTATCAGTCTGACTGACTAAACTGAGCCACCATTATAGGAACCAAGCCCCAGTCCTTTCCCAGAAGGAGTTGTAATGACAGCCAGCCAGGAAAGTTAGAGGTGTAAGTTGTGGCTTTGGGCTCTCCATGAACTGTGACATCATGAACAATGCCACCTATTTCTAAATGTCACACCCACAAAAACATGTCCCTGGGAGGACATTCCTGAAAGTCTGCTTCCGGCAAGTCCTCCCATGGACTAGACAGTAGAGGAAATTCTAATCAAAGGTTGACTTTTGGCCGGCCCAAACGTTATTTCCAAGTAGAAGAAGAAGGAAGTGAACCCACTGATCTTTTCCTTAAGTAGATGTGAAGACAGAGAGGTAGGCAAGGCACACACAGTCCCTGTCTGCCCAGGAGCAGAGTAGTAGGCTTCTCCCTGGGCCGGGAGCATTAGTAACGCGAGAGCTTGTGAGCGTGTGTTATCTTCAGCCCTGTCCCAGAGTGTCCGGATTTGAAATGAGAGTGGGTGCCCTAAGAGGTTTGGGTGCAAGCCCAGGCTTACAAGCACTGGTCTAGAGGATTCCAATGTCCATTCTTCTCTCTGTTGCTTCCCTCTTCCGAGCCTCCATTTCCTCATCACCGAGTGCGCTGCAGCTTTGGGATTAATGAAATCTCATCTTGTTGTTATTTCCTCCTTACAGAAAAACTCTGCTTTGAGTTGGACTATGAGCCAGGTGAGCAGCCCACATTAGCATGGGGAGAATAGGGAAGCTTCTGGATCCTGCACTGTGCACCAAAATACTTAAATAAACATTCACATGACTCTCTCTCTCTCTCTTTCTTTCTCTGTCTCTCCCCCCTCTCTCTCACACATACACCCCTCTCTCACTCCCCTCTCTCACACACACACCCCCCTCTCTCTCTCATACACCCCTCTCTTTCACACACACACACCTCTCTCTCACACACACACACCTCTCTCTCTCTCACACACACACACACCTCTCTCTCTCTCATACACCCCTCTCTCTCTCACACACACACACCTCTCTCTCACACACACACACTTCTCTCTCTCATACACACCTCTCTCTCGCACACACACACACCTCTCTCTCTCACACACACACACCTCTCTCTCTCTCACACACACACACACCCCCCTCTCTCACACACACACACTTCTCTCTCTCTCTCTCACACACACACACCTCTCTCTCACACACATATACTTCTCTCTCTCTCTCTCACACACACACACCTCTCTCTCACACACATATACACCTCTCTCTCTCACACACACACACCTCTCTCTCTCACACACACACACCTCTCTCTCTCACACATATATACCTCACACACACACACACACACATACACACCTCTCACACACATACACACATCTCTCTCACACACACACATACACACCTCTCTCACACACACACACCTCTCTCTTTCACACACACACCTCTCTCTCTCTCTCTCACACACACACATCTCTCTCACACACACACACATACACACCTCTCTCACACACACACATACACACCTCTCTCTCACACACACCTCTCTCTCTCACACACACACACCCTCTCTCTCTCTCACACACACACACCTCTCTCTCTCTCTCTCACACACACACACACACCTCTCTCTCTCTCACACACACACACCTCTCTCTCTCTCTCTCACACACACACACATCTCTCACACACACCTCTCTTTCTCACAAACATATACACATCTCTCACCCCCCTCTCTCACACACACACAACCGGTGTACATAAGCATACATGCACACTCATATCCATAGATTCCACATTCAACCCTGGATAGAAAAACACTGCTTTGTATTGAATGTGGTAAGATTTCCCCCCTTGTCATTACTCCTTAAGTACTGTAGTATAACAACCATCCCTATAGCATTTACATTGTATTATGTAACATGAGCAACCTAGAGATGATCTGAAGTGCTTGGGAGGGTATGTGTAGTGTATGTATAAATAACACGCCAGTCTACATAAAGGACTTGGGCTTCGGTGAAGTTTAGTATGCAAGGGGGTTGTGGAAACAATACCTCACAGATGCCGAGGTATGACTGTATAAGGCCCCTAGGAGAGACATGAAGCGAGGACAGGCACATACATATTCCTGATAAATCTGGTCTCTAGATCAGCACATCTACAGTGGGCAGAATGATTTTAAAAAATGAATATGGCCTATCTAAATGAGGGGAGTTTTATCTGTTTTGGGTCATATTCTCAGAATTGTCAGAAACCTCTATTCCCTCTCAGATGTTAGTCTTTAAATTATAGAAACAGAGCCACTTACAAGAGAGACAAGAACGAACAGAAAGAATCCCTTTAATGCTATTAGTTCCCCATTGGCCAGTCAAAGACCCAGGAGGGTTGTGGAACTGTTGGGAGGAGCTCCCTAACCTGTGGATAAGTCTGCATATATAGGTTTTCTCTATCTAGAATTTTTGTTTGCTTTTGTTTTTGAGGCAGGGTCTCACTGCCCTGGCACTCACTATGTAGACCAGGCTGGCCTCGGACTCACAGAGATCCGTCTGTGTCTGCCTCCCGAGTGCTGGGATCGAAAGCATGCACCACCATGCCCAACTCCCTTCAGTTTAGAAATATTAAACACAGTAATACATAGGGAGAATTGGGGGCTCTAAAAAGTGGCAGTCAGAGTCCAACAGTTTAGAATGATTGGAGACTACATAACCCCAGGGTGAAGAGGAAGCGAAAGTTGTACAAATGAGTCATGGTGTCCTCAGCCAAAACAGGGAAGAAACTCTAGCCTGGGATCCAAAGGAGGAAAATGTCTGAAGGAGAGACTGTGCATGGAGATTGTGTGAGGAAGGCTGTGTGGGAGGGGCTGAGTATGTGGGAGGGAGCCTTGTGAGAGGAGGCGGCTGTATGGGGGCATACTATGCTTGAGGAAGGTGTGTGTGAGGATGGTACATATGAGAAGACGCAGGCTGTGTGTAAAAATGATTGTGTGTGTGGGGGGGGGCGTGTTCATGAGTGAGGAGGCTGTGCGTGAGAGAGTCTGTGTATCGGGTGACTGTGTGTGAAGGTCGCCGTGTCTGCAGGGGGCTGTATGTGAAAGGATGTGGGGAAGAGGCTGTGTGCGAGGAAACTGTTTGGGAGGGAAGGCTATGCGCGGGGGCTATGTATGAGAACGGCTGTGTATGATGTTGGACTTGTGTGGGGGAGGCGGTGTAGGGGGGTTTGCGTGTGAGAGTGACTAGGCATGATGGCGGTTGGGTGAGAAGGATGCTTACTTAAAGGGATACTGTATATGAGAAAGGCTGTGTGTGAAGAAATCCTGTGTGGGAGGGAAAGTGTATGTGAGAGAGGATGTGTGTGAAGGGTACTTGTATGAGGGGGTACTGTGTGTGTGTGTGTGTGTGTGTGTGTGTGTGTGTGCGTGTGCGCGTGCGCACGCCAGTGTGAAGAAAACTGTGTGTGAGGGAGGCTAGTTGTAATGGTAGCTGTGCGTGAGTGTCAGTGTGTGAGGAAGCTGTCAAATGGCCATGTATACGGTACCTGTGTGTGAGTGTGCCTTGTGTGAAGAGGCTGTGTGTGGAGGAAACTGTGTGCAAAGGTATGAGCAAGGCTGTGTGCAAGAGAGGCTGTGTAGGAGGCTATTGGGGGGGCTGTATGTGAGGGAAGCTGTTTGTGAGGGCATCCATGCGTGGGGAGGCTGTGAAGAGAAAGCTGTGTGTGAGGGTAGCACGTGTGAAGCGTGTAGTGTGTGAAGCGACACCGCTGCATAGAAGCCGCGTGAGGCTGGCTTTGTGTGAGGGACAGAGTGTGTGAGAGGAGGCTGTGTGAAGGTGGCTACATGCAGGGCTGCCTGTGTATAGGAGACTGTCTGTGAGGGGAGGCTGTGAGACTGGCTCTGTGTGAGGGAGGTCGGATCTAAAGGAGGCTGTGTATGAGAGGAGACTCTGTGAAGGGGAGAGGGGTGTGCATGCAGATGTATGGTTGGCTGTGTGAGTGAGGCCAGTATGAGGCTGGCTGTATACGAGGGAGGTTGTGTGTGTGTGGGGGGGGGGGTGGAGAGAAAGTGTGAGAGAGTGTTTGTGAGGAGGATATGTGTGAAAGTGGCTGTGTGTCAGTGTCGGTGTGCCCCTGTACAAAGAAGATGTACCTGAGGGTAAGCTCTGGAGCTAGGAGGACATGTGCAACGACGGGGAGAGGGGTATGTATGAGGAGGCTGTTTGTAAGGGTGCCCATGTGTGGGAGGCAAGTCCTGTGTCAGGGATCCCCTGTTTTTCACCAATGGGAGACTCACCATGAGCTGCACCGTGAGCTAGAGGGTGGCAGACCAGCGAGGGCGGCATGCTCTTTGTGACTGACTTTTCTTGCTCTAATGTCTATAATGCATTCCCTTGACATTTTTTTTAGGATGCAGACATTTTGTCTGTAGGTCTAACCAGTTCCTTGGCGATGCCAGTGCTCTGGTTTAAACACATAGATGGTTTAACACTAGCAGGCAGGAAGTTTGCTTTTAGGCCATCCTGGTAAAAACATAGCCCATCTGCCGACGTACCTGTTCCTTGTTTTATTCCACAGCCCAGATTGCTCTAGACCCCCAGACCTCCCACCCCAAGCTCCTCCTGTCTGAAGATCACCGCAGGGCTCGGTTCTCCTACAAGTGGCAGAATTCACCGGATACTCCCCAGCGTTTCGACCGAGCCACCTGTGTCCTGGCTCAACGTGGCTTTACAGGAGGGAGGCACACTTGGGTGGTGAATGTAGACTTGGCCCACGGGGGCAGCTGCACTGTAGGTGTGGCGAGAGAGGACGTGCAGAGGAAAGGAGAACTGCGGCTGAGGCCAGAGGAAGGGACATGGGCGGTGAGACTGGCTTGGGGCTTTGTCTCAGCCCTGGGTTCCTTCCCCACAAGGCTGGCCCTAGAGCAGCAACCCCGGAAGGTGCAGGTGTCTCTTGACTATGAGGTAGGCTGGGTGACCTTTGTCAATGCTGTCACCCAGGAGCATATCTATACCTTCACTGCCTCCTTCACTCGGGAGATCTTTCCCTTGTTTGGACTCTGGGGCAGAGGGTCTAGCTTCTCCCTGAGCTGTCAAGAAGGTGCAGTTTCCCTCCTCTGAGTATGAGACTAGAACCAAGCACCCTGGGGAGTTGACTCTTGGCTGGGTCACCGGGCACAAAAAAATGACTTTTTTAGACAATTGGGATGGCATGTGTCAGTAAGGGACAAGGTGGTAGGACCTTTAGTCTTGTCATTGTCCAAGGCTTTCCCCAGTGCCCATCTGATGGTCAGGGTATCTGGGACCATTATCACCAATGGGCACAGACACAGATATACAGACAGTGATGGATTGTAAGCCTGAAGACCTGGGTTCTGGAAGAAGTCCTGTAATCAACCCACTGCCTGACTTCAAGCAAAACACTTTACCTCTTCGTTTTGTTTTTTTCCAAAAATATTATTTAATTTATTCACATCTTCAAGAAACATTTTGGCGGAGTGGATACGATCAAAGCACACTGTACACATGAGTGAACTTCTGAGAGAGTAAATAAAGACATTATTTGATAGAGGAGCATCTTCTTTCTTCTGCCATCAAGTGCCATTCACCCAGCATAGCTTCTCACCATGTCATCTCACAAGACTTTCAGGACCAGTGTGTGCCTTCCCTTCTGCCACCTCCATGCCAACCGACATCAGCAAGTGGGCTGAGCTGCTGAACCCGCAGGAGGTAAATGAGTGGCCCCAGCATCAAGAGGGGGTGGATGAGCTGGACAAAGTGTTGATACCCACCCACCTAGGCCCATTGCATTTCATGGGATGGCCTTGACCCAGGGAAACTCTATACCTTAGTCCTCACAGACCCAGATGGTCCCAATACAGGGAGTGGCACTGTTTTCTAGTGGTCAACATGACAATGACATCAACAGTGGCACTGTCCTTTTGGATTATTCAGGCTCTGACCCTGCCAGTGGCACTGGCCTACTACTGCTAGATCTGACTGGTGTACCAATCAGGACAAGCCACCAAAGAGTGACAAGCCCATCTTCAGCAATAGGTCTGAAGATCACAGTGGCAAGTCCAAGGTGGCAGTCTTCCACAAGAAGGATCCCCCGAGATCCCCTGTGGCTAGCATATCTTAGCAACCACAATGGGATGACTAGGTGTGCAAGCTGTACGAGTAGCAGTCTGGGAAGTAGGGGTGCTGTGGAGGCCAGTGGTCCTGGAGGCCCCTCACAATATTGTCAAGTTGTGCACAGCGTGCTATTTCTCCTCCTTTCCGACCTCGTCATGGAGAGAACAAAGGGCTAGTGCTATCTATAACTGGTTTAACAAAGAGAAATTCTGAGTCCAGAGCCAGTGCATCTTTGGAGATGTGTTTTTAGGGTCTTGCCCCAGTGAGACCAGTGTGAGCAAAACTCACTGGGGTTGCTAGATGTGTTACCAGATGGTTCAACATCAAATTAAAATAAAAACCATTGGATTCAATTTTTTTTTTTTTAAAAAAAAAGGACTTTCAGGATTGAGTGATTCCTGGCAAGAAACAAAAGCAAAATTGTCTGCCTTAGTAGCTACTTTTCTATTGCAATGATAAGACACAAGCTTCAGAGTCTATGACCATCATGGTAGAGAGCATGCAGCAGCCAGACAGGCACAATCCTGGAACGGTAGGTGAGAGATTATATTTTGATTCACAAGCACGAGATGGAGAGAGCTACCTGGGAATGGTGTGGGCTTTGTCAAACCTCAAAACCCACACACCTCCTTCAGCAAGGTGCCACTTCCTAATCCTTCCCAAACAGCTCCACCAGCTGGCAGAAAGTTTTTATTTTAACCTCTGGAGTTTTGGTCATGTTTAATTGGGGGAACTTGCTTGCTTTTATCTGTTCCACAATGGCTAGTTGATTGATTCTGTAATGAAATACGTGGAACATTACAAAAGGGGAAAAAAGAAACATTCCTTTTTTTTCCTGTGCTAGCTGTGAACAAATCATGGTAGCCATTGGCAATTTGAAAAGAAGATGAAGTAGTGCTGGGAAGACAGTGAAGTAAAGACAAAACCTCCACACCATGTGGTGGCTGTCTGATTGGGATCTGCCTAGGCATTGTAGATGCTTAGAGGAGGGGATGTGGCTGTGTCTTCAGGGAGAATATGATACCAGGATGGTCTTTTAAAAGATGCACTTGGGGGGCTGGAGAGATGGCTCAGAGGTTAAGAGCACTGACTGCTCTTCCAGAGGTTCTGAGTTCAATTCCCAGCAACCACATGGTGGCTTACAACCATCCGTTATGAGATCTGGTGCCCTCTTCTGGTGTGCAGATATACATGGAAGCAGAATGTTGTATACATAATAAATACATAAAATCTTAAAAAAAAAAAAGATACACTTGGTGAGAGAGAAAAGGAGGAAGACAGGGGGACAGGGAAAGCTGGCTCACCTGGTGTTTGACCTCCACACCCTGGACGCTGGGTCATCTCCGCACCCTCTGGACAGACGTGTACCATCCTCATCCAATCCCACCCACTGCCTTCTCCTGGTGGTGTCAGTTTGAGGTGAAGGTCAGCCAGGGAGATACTGTTTTGTTGGAAGACATTGCTGGCTGGTCAGAGGTCGTGCCCCGCCCTCATGGCCTAGCGGCTTATCTCAATACGCTCAGCAACATGGAGCTCTCTTCCTTCATCAGAACTTCCTGCCTCTACCTGCCCTTGTCTGGAGGACACTCCTGGGCCTGGAGGACTGACCTTATCTAAAAAACTGTCTCTAAAACCAGGATACCCAATTTGTCTTTAGCCTGACCCCTGGCATAGATCCCTGCTGAGAAGGCTTGCTATAGGGGCTCTGCTATAGGACCCTACTGCCACATACCAAGTTGCTTAGGAACTTGACACTCAATGCAAATTAGGGTTTGTCTCCAGGCTCCCCAATCCTATATATTCTTTATACTCTGAAATAAAATTGCGCTGATTCACCAAAATCTGTCTCCTGGAGGGCTGTCTGCATTCGTGCTCATGGGCCAAGCACAAAGCTTTCTGGTGGGCAACAGGCCAAGAGAGAAAGAGGGCCCCCAGAGTGGTTATGGTCATAAACCATAATCTAAGGACTACACTCCCTGGGGACTTCCCCTGGGGAAGCTGTCTTCCTGATCAGTTGGTTACCAGGTGAAATTAAAAAGGAGATGGTGGAAGAGAATTAGTCACAAATAACTCAGTTGTGGAACAGAAATAGCATCATCTGCATAATTTGGTGAGAGGGTCCCAGGAGGATGCTGGGGTGTTTTGGATGGCCTGTCACCTTTAGACTAACAAGTTGAAATATACTAGGACTGGACAAAAGGTGACCTTTGTGGGATGAGGAAAGACAGGGGATTAAAGATGAACTGGTCTGAAGTGGAGAATTCTGTGGGCTATAGGAAGCTGGGTAGAGGTGGAATGCTATTACCATGAGGGGCCTGAATAATTCCAGAAACATCCCTGCTTGGAAATGATTTGGGGACCAGGCTGGCAACTAACAGTGGGTGCCTGCAACTTGGAAAACTACATCCACCATCTCAAAGTGTTATTTTAAATATTACGCATTATCAAAACATTTTCCCCTTAACTTTACAGAGTGGCTATGATAGATTTCCTAGTCTTTATTAAGTCTACACTTCATTCTACCTAAACCTGCCCTTTGGTGACAGTTTATTTAACATTCTTGCTGTTTACTCTACTCAGTCATAAACTGCATCTGTGAGGAGACAAATTGGCCATGGTGCAACTCTACTGGAGAGGCCACCAGGGGCCTTGGGCCCACACTAGGAATCGCCTTCAAAGGGGGTGTCTCTCCTCCATGCAGCAGATAGAAAAGAGCTTGCAGTTAGGGGCAAGAGATCAGAGGATGTTCAATATTCCCTATAAAATATATGTTTGAAAAATAAGGGAATGTACAAGTGTCTATATAATGCTAAAACATACACACAGGCCCTAAGCCTCGTATTCCACTAGAAAATGGACTATATTTTTCTGTTTCTTTGTGATGGGGAATGTACTGTGTATGTTTATCTTATTGATTGTTAAATAAAGTTCTGTTTGGCCAATGAAACAGCAAGCTAGACAGGACTAGGAGTCAAAGAGGATTCTGGGAAATGTAGTAGAGAAGTGGTGATACAGGCAGGAAGTGAAATAGCAAGGAGACTCATATTTAAAGAAGGAGAAACAGGAAGCGTCTCTCTTTCCCCTTTTCCTCCTCCAGCGGCAGGAGGTGATCCACCGGCAAGAAGGGACGCCAATAAGGTGTCCAATAAGATAAGTCTTATAAAATATATAGGTTTATGATAGTTAAGACTGAGCTAACAGATGAGAATCCTAGTCATTGGCCAAGCAGCATTGTACCTAATACAAGTTTCTGTGTATTCATTTGGGCCCTAACTCAGGCGGGTGGCTGGTATAAAGCTCACACATGGTGGTGGGGCTCTGGCGGCTTTTGGCAGAAAGATTTATCGTAACATCTTTACACTGGTTTTACTTGAGTATTTAAAACAACTGTGACCCTTGACAGGCAGTGGTGGTCCATGCCTTTAATCCCAGCACTCAGGAGGCAGAGGCAGAGGCAGAGGCAGAGGCAGGTGGATCTCTGTGAGTTCGAGACCAGCCTGGTCTACAGAGTGAATTCCAGGACAGCCTCCAAAGCCACAGAGAAACCCTGTCTTGGAAAAGAAAGAAAGAAAGAAAGAAAGAAAGAAAGAAAGAAAGAAAGAAAGAGGGGGGAGGGAGAGAGGAAGGAAGGAAGGAAGGAAGGAAGGAAGGAAGGAAGGATGACCATGAATCTCTAAGTTATATATATATATGATATGAAGTTCCCTTCTTGCTATAAGGTATCATGTCCCTTATGGCATTTATTTTGGTAACTCTATGAAATAGATTCTATTATCATCCCAACTCTTTCTTTTTATGCATACTTGGTATATGTGTATGCATGGCTTTATGTGTGGGTACAGGTGTGTATGGTTTCATGTACACATATGTGTACATGCGTGTGGGGCCTGAGGTTGACATCAGATGTCTTTTTCAATCATTCTACCCTTTATTTATTTGGTAGGGTCTCTGGCTGAACTCAGAGCTCACCAGTTCTTGTTAGATCAGCTAGCTAGTTAGTTTGGGGGTTCTGACTTTTCCCTGCAACTGCTGAGATTATAGGTGGTTACTCAGTTTTTCCATGTGTTCTGGGAATCCAAACTCTAGTCTTCATGCTTACACAGTAAGCCTTTTATTTACTGATACATCTCCCTGGTCTTTATTATGCCCTGTTGGGCATGAAGGAGACAGCTGTGTGTGGTAGTTTAAGCATATCTCAGTAGGTAGAAGCAGGAAGATCAGGAATTCAAGGTCAGCCTCTGCCACACAGTGAGATGGAAAATTCAATGCCAGCCTGTGCTGCATTAATCCCTGTTGAAAGGGAGAGGGGAGAAAAAGCGTGGAGGCAGGGGGTAGCAAATGAGAAAGAGGAGAGGGGGAGACTTGAGGCCTGGTGAAATTTGTTTTTTGTTTTTGTTTTTTTTTGGTTTTTGGTTTTTTGTTTTTTGTTTTGTTTTTGCTCATCCAAGATCACACAGCCAGGACTTTATAATCTGTGTCTGACTTCTGACCTCTTAAACACCATTCCAAAGGGTTTTGTTTGGAAACTGGTGGTTGTATGGCCCTAGTGAGTATTTTGATGCCGACTGTACTCACTACAAGTGACTGCTATCCTGAGAGATAATCTGTTTTTCTTAAACTGAGAAGTAAACCTGCTAGTGAGTGAAGGTACTCCTTTTAACCTGTCAGTGTATATTCCCCTTCCTAGGGCACTGTAAAACTTACTGCCTTTTAAAGGGGGTAGATTTGATGACCTCCCAGGGAGGTGACCAATGAACCTCCACGCTGTTCTTGCTGGAGTCAGACTCCATTTGGTTCCCCCCCCCCCCCCGAAGAGCTACATCTGCATAAAAGCTCCAGGCTCCAATTCCTCTTTATCAGACCCCAGAGAAGAGTCAAACACTTTACCTGACACCCACTTTCCTTTGCAAAAAAGGGAGACCCATCCCAGTTAGTTTAAATAGGAAAGTTTATTATAAGAACAGATGCAGAAATAAGAAAAAAACAATTCTACCATTTTTTCAGGCCTTTTGGAAACTATGGTAGAGGCAGGGTTAAGAAGTTAAGACATTATCAGTTCTTAGGAGGATTTACATCCAGTTTTGTTCACTGTGTTGGCAGAATTCTTTCTCTTGCAACCGTAAACCCCCGATTCCTGCCAACTGGAAGGTGTAGGCTGCTCTAAGAAACTTGGAGGTGCCCACATATCTTTCCCCTCGGCACCACTAACTTTATCAAGAGGAGTCTCTAGAATGCATCTATTAGCAGGAGTCCAGTGGAAGGAGATATGGTCACTTCAGTGACCTTCATCGCCTCTGGTAAATTCCTTTGATGAGAAGTGTGTCACAGATACCACCACTTTGTCACACTCAGGCGACAAAGTTACACAAGTACGTGAACATGAGGGTGAGGACTGTGGAAATCACCCTTGAGTCTGTCTGCAACAGTCAGAATGAATGAACGACGTGGGCAGTACAGACAGGAGGTTCTATCAGAGTCGGAAGAAATTTTACCCCAATAAACCTGCCAGGGTCCATATGCTGCAGTGGCTTCACTCTGGTGACCTGTGTCGTCCAGATGCTTTGATGCTCACATGGACAGTAGGTGCTACCACCAGTTCACAGGCGATATGGATATTGCACAAATGACCCTGGACGTGATGGAGACCTCAAATGCCTGGCCACAAGGAGCCACAGCTCAAGCATGGCTTAGGAAGGAGACTGTGTCCAAGTGTCAGAGGTTAGGGCATCAGGTGAGAGCTGTGGGGATGAGAATCGGGAGAACTAATTGGGGTTTGGATTGGCTGGAGGAAGGTGAGAGAGGAGTCCTTCTAATTTCTGTGGTGCACTCCTGAAAACAAAGAAATCATTTATAGATTCACACATATGCTACTGAATCTTCCGCCGCCGCCCATGTAGTATACAAGTACCATCTATGTCACCTTGACTTAAATTCAGCCCATATGCACATCTATGTCATGTGGGTCTGCGTGTGTCTTCCAGTGTGGGGCAGAGGGAGAGGGGGTCATACCTGTCCAGTAAGTCACTGACATCCTGGGAGAGAAAGGGTGACAATCACAGTCAGTTACTATGCTCTTGCCACTGAATGCCCTTCCTGGCTCCTGCTTGAAGGCCACTCTGGCTGCCACCATGAGAGCTGGAGGGCACAGCACCTTTCTTCTGTTCCTCACTCTGTTGTATCATGGTGCAGCCCTGTACAAGGCACCTTCACCACTCTCTCTCTCTCTCTCTCTCTCTCTCTCTCTCTCTCTCTCGCTCTCTCACACACACACACACACACACACACCCTGAAATCATCACATATCCCAGGAGTGCCTCCCTTACACCTCCCAGGAGGGACCTGCAGGCCAGCTGTTTACTGTTCAAAGAATCTCTCCCTGAATTTAGGGGTGCCTTGGGAAGTACACCTTCAGAGTGCTGGCATCCAGTTCCTTGGCCATCCTTTCCAGGTCAGAAGCCAGGATGCTGAGCTGTGTTACTGCTTCAGAGATGTTAAAGATCTTGGCCACCTCCGCTGGTAGGTCCTTTTGTTGGTCCAGCCAATTCTGAGGTAAGGCCTTCAGCTGTTTGTTGGTTTGGTCTTGGTTCGGCAGCTCAGTTCTCAGCTCGTGACTCCCCCAATCCTCCTGAAATCACATAACATTTGATGATGGGGCCCCATGCACTGAATACTGGGAATACTGGCCTCCTCTCTTCCTTTATGTCTTGCCTCACCAGCCACTGTACTTCAGAAGCAATTGGACTCTTCACCTCATAATTCCAAGCACATCTATAGATAACTGTGTCCTGCCAACACACACACACACACACACACACACACACACACACACACACACACACACACGAAAGCACCCACACATGCATTCATAAAAGCACATCACATACACACAAACACATGCACTCATGCACAAAAGCATGCATCTCTCTCTCTCTCTCTCTCTCTCTCTCTCTCTCACGCACCCCACTCAGGTATGTTCTTCTGATGTCAGCTTTTAACTCTGTAAGTGAGGAGAAAGCTCACCCAAGTGAGCCAGGGGGATAGAAAAGCGATTGCCAAGGACAAGATGTGTAGTCATTTTTCAACTATTTTAATTCTCACCATGTACTCAGGAGAATAGGGTTTTTTTTCCTTAAGAAAAAAAGATGTATGATGGTCAGAAGTTTCACATGCCCCAAGACGTTCCGTTCACCAATCTCAGAGCCAAGCCCCAAACCCAGGTTTTCAGCCTACATGACCATAATTCCATAACAGGCTGCTCCAGGGACAAACAGTTGTCTGCAGCAAAAGGAGAGGTCCTTCAAGACTCGAGACCATCCCTGGGACTCACACTCACCTGCACAGCCTGCAGCATCTCCTCTTCCTGAGCCTTAAGCCGTTGAAGGTCCCCCAGGTCCTTTCTGAGCTTCCTGCTTCTACGGTTGAGTCTTTCCTAGACACAGACACAGAATTGTCAGACTGGAGGGTGAGGCAGTATCCCAGGGAATCCACAGCGGGTCCCTAGGTAAGATTACAAATAAACGCCAAGATCAGGCATGCCCCTGTTCACCTTTAACCTCAGCAGTCAAGAAGCAGAGGCAGCTGGACCTCTGAGTTTGAGGCCAGCCTGGTCTACAGAGTGAGTTCCAGGTCAACCAGGACTATGTATTGAGACCCTGTTTCAAAAACCAAAACAAAGGAAATTCTGGGGGAGGGATGAGCAGTTGCTGGCCTTCAGGAGACCCACGCTCAGTTCCCAGCACCCACACTGGGCAACTCACAACTGCTGTACCTCCAGTTTTAGGGAATCCAGCATCCTCCTCTTTTCTGACTTCCAAGGACACACACACACACACACACACACACACACACACACACACACACTTTTTAAAACAACACAAATACAAATAATGTCAATAACTCTAAATGCATGAGGCAAGATTGAGACAATGCAGGTGTCTCATTTACCATGTTTAAAATGAGTAGGATAGACTCCTCTGTTTTTATAATCATATTTAGATATTTGTGTTTATTTTAATTATGCATATGAGTTTGTGTTTATGTGTGAATATGTACACATGTGTGGGTACCCAAGGAGCCCAGAAAAGGAACCAGATCCCATGGAGACAGAATTACAGGTAGTTGAGAGCCACCTGATGAGGGTGCTGAGAATCAAACATGTCTATTCTGATGGAGCAATATTCCTCTTGACCACTAAATCGCCAAGTCCCTCATGATTGTGTGTGTGTCCTTGTTGTTGTTGCTGCTGTTGTTGTTTTGTTTTGCTTCAGGATTTCATTACATAGCCCAAACTAGTCTGGGATTCAGAGAGATCAGCCTGCCTCTGTCTCCAAGTGCTGGGGCTAAAGGCGTGCGGCACCACACCTGGCCCTAAATCATTACGTTGTAGGCTAACATGAGAAAGTAATTAAAGCAATTTAAAACAAGCTTTGATTATAAATTCTCCAAATGCAACAGGACTTCTCTGGACTTGAACTCTCCCCACACCCAGTCTTTGTGCTGGTGCAGCTTTGATGTCACTTCCCATTAGGCTTTGGCTGATGACACTAAGAAGAGTCACCCTGCTGGTTTAGTTTGTCATCAATTCTTTTGCGTGCAAGCAGGAGACACTTGCTGTTTTCCTTATAATGAACAAATATTCTTTATTTATTTTTCTACACTTCCTCTTATTACTTAAATGTGGACTTGCAGTCAGTCGTCATGAATCACCTTTGTACTTCCTCCTGATGTCTGGTGTGACACCTTACAGAAGGTACAGACCTGAGTCAGTCATTCAGGGATGGAGGAGACCTGTCTCCTCACAACTGACTCATGGCAGTGGGAAACCCCATCCCCTCTGCTGTAGACTCTGCACGTAGTAGGTTCAGAACTCGGTAAAACATTGCCCTTTAAGCTTTCTGAATCATTCTCTACATTCAGTTCCAGTTTAGGCTCCCTCGTTTGTCACTGCAGACCGTGACAATGTTCTTTGAAGGCCAACTGTCTGAAAGACGTTGGGAATTTACCCTTCAGGGCTGAGGAAGTAGTAGTTTGGCGATAGAACATTTGTCTGGCATGTGTGAGGTCCTGGGTTCAAACCCCGACACCACAAAGAAAAAAAGAGAAAGAAAATTCAGCCTTCATTACTGATAGGAAGTCCTGACAGGGAAGCAGTCGGGCGAGGGGGATCAGGTTTGGCTTCCACCATGGCATCCCGGAAGCTTCCGGTGCTTGAACTTTGTACCTGCTCAGCAACAGTAATTCTCATTCACGGGCATTAATATGCATATCTGGCTGAGAACAGAGATAGATAGAAGCCAAGAGGCTGCCAGCTTGCTCATTACTTTCGAAGTAGAGGGGCATGGGGTCTCAGAGAGTGGGATCCTAGGGGTGGGGGTGTAACACAGTGTGAAGCCATCAGGGTAGGATGAGTGACACTACACAGGGGACTTTGAAATGGCTAGAACTCGTTTTCAGGGCGTGACATCATGTGGGAATCTCAGAACCGTTCAGTTTTTTGTTTTGTTCTGTTTTTGTTTTTGTTTTGAACTGTTCAGTTTTAACATCCCCAGATGACACCAGTTTCTCTAACAGATTAGCTGGTGCGCAAGCTAAGCCTTTGACTCATTGATCTTTGGAACAACTGGCAAGAAAATGCCAGTGATGGGTGGAGGTATAGCTGAGGGGAAAGAACACATCCTAGCATGTATGAGGCCTTGGGTTCAATCCCTAGAACTATTTTTTAAAAATAGTTTTGAAAAGAATAAAATTAAAAAGAAAGACCTAAGGTTTGGAAAGAAGAAGATGAAGCCCAGCAAGAAGTTTGGGCAGGGAGAAAACAGAAAGAAAAAAAAAAAAAAAAGCTAAATGTGGTGCCATGTGTCTGTAATTCCAGCACTCAGCAGGCTAAGGCAGGAGGATTGCCATCAATTACAGACTAACCGGGACTACAGAGTACGATCCTGTCTCAAGAAACAAACAATGGGGCTGGAGAGATGGCTCAGTGTTTAAGAGCACTGGCTGCTGCTGCAGAGGAGCTAAAACCCACACGGCAGCTCACAACTGCCTGTAACTCCAGTTCCCGGGAATCTGATGACCTCTTCAGGCTTCCTCTGGTACCATGCATGTGGTGCACATATATACACACAGGCAGAATGCACATATAGTAAAATAAATTTTAAAAGAAAGGAAAAAAACAATACCTGCCCCCAAAGAAGAAGAAATAAAAAACAACAAAATCTGCCCATATTACAAATGTACAATTCTTAAAATGGTTTAATACGGTGAGTCTGGTGGCCTATGCCTACAATCTTAGTTACTCTGGGGGCTTGCAGCATGGGAATCAAAAGTAAGATTAAGTCTCAAAATAAAAAGTAAAAAGAAGACTGTATATTTAGCACAGTACAATTGCCTTGCATGTGCAAGACCCTAGGTTCAGTCTTTATCCTTAGTGCTATTGGAGGGAGAAGGGGGATGGGAAGGGGAGGAGGAAGGGAAGGAGGAAGACGAGGAGGAGGAGGAGGTTTGTCACACAGACAGGAACATACAGAACAAGACAGGATCTACATGGAACATTCAATAAATGGTAGTGGGACAATTTGCTATAATTTGGAGAAGTTAAATTTAGTTTTCTATCTTATATTTTCACCAAAATATCTTGGATATTTTAACTTCTCCAAAATACATGTTAAAAAGTTATTCATCATAACTGTATAACCTAAACTCAATCACCTGTGAATAACCCAGTATCCTAACTTTGATTTATTCATAGACTTGGACAGAATGCAGTTGCTGAAGGATGTACGAGAGATCTGGATTCATCAATAGGAAAAAAATGTTCTAAACATATTTTTAGAGGATAAAAATCAAGATATAGTAAAAACTTGAGGGAGCCAGAAAGACGGCTCAGTGGGTAAAGGCATTTGCCACCAAGACTGATGGCCCATACGGTAAAGGGTGAGAACTGACTTCACAAAGAAGTCCTCTGACCTCTGCATGCACGCCGTGGCACACTGCCCCCCGACCTCATATGTACACACAATAATAAATAAATGAATGGAGTCCTCTATCCATTTACTGTCGTTTTGTTTTTTGAAGTACTGGGGATTGAATCCCTGGATTCATTTATGCCAGGCAGTCATTCTACCACTGAGCTACATCTCTAGTGTCTGTCTCTGATACTGTCTGTCTGTCTGTCTCTGTGTGTCTCTCTACCTCTCTGTCTCTCTCTGTGTCTCTGTGTCTCTG